TTTGCTGTCTTGTTTCATTATGAAAACAGTTTAAAGGACAATGTTCATGTAAAAATCCATTTCTCGAATTTTGAAGATTCAGCACTCAATCTATACACTAGAGGTATGTTTTAATCGATCCCCGCCATTTAAAAATTATAAAAATAATCTATTAATAGTAAAAAAGCGTTTTAGTAAACCTCACCTCAATATGCATAAATGAAGACAGATCTGGGTCACGTGGTACTGTGATGACAATCACGATAAAGGTCTATGAGACTCAACTGAGCTGCATGGTGCAAACAGACAGAATGATTTTGGAAAGTTGTGTTGAACGGAGTTGAGCAATTTTCTTTATGCCGCAGTGTGTTGCCGTGGGATTCACCAAAATTGCAGCACTCCTTGACTATCTTTCTTTATCTGTGACGGTCTTCCGTGACTAACTTGCTAACTTTGGTGACAATAGTTGCGATCCTCGCGATCTCGGTCACCTCAGGTGTTTTAGATCATATCAAAAGCTGATAGTCTTTTAGATACTGTCATCAGTTGGCAAGCTTACTAATTGCTGATGCATTTTTAAATTCATTGTAGTTGACCAAGAGCTCGTTAACAATAAAAACTGTTAATTATACACCGCTGCAATTCCCAAGCCAGGTAATAACAGGTATGAAACTCGTCTTGGTGGGCTTTCATATTTTTCAATATATCTAATTTATTTCATGGGGTTATTTTATTGGTATTTGTAAATGACGTTAAATATCAATACTTAAACAATTAAGAGAGAACAGTTTCATTAAATAGCTCTTTATGTATATATTCAAATTCTTGTTTTTCTTTTTATCAAGAGCTTGTAAAATATGTGGGTATTACCTCCAATAGTTCTAACACGGTCGCGAACATTAATAAAAGAAATTTCTCTCAGGGTATCTTGAAGCTTCCGTGGAAGAAAACGTGTTGAGGAAAAACAGGAAAAAGAGCGTTATATTAAAGAAAAATGGGAACTGCTGTAATAAAATGGTTCGTTATCCTAATTCATTTATGCATTGAGGATTTGTTTCTGAAGATTATTTCATCTGAAATATTAAATAATTTAAAAGATTGATCA